GCTAAGTTCAACGTTCAGAAAGCTAACCATAGACAAGTGGTGTGTCTTACAGCAGGGCTCAGCTGTCAGATACTCCGGTCTCTGCAGCAGTTAGCATTCTCCTTTGTTCTCTTTTAAATGTAAATACTGGTGAAAGGATTAAAAATCAAGTTGCTTAACAACTGACTGACCAATTTTGTCAGATCCTGAAAACAAAGCAGAATTAACGGGGAGGTAGAGGTGAGAAGTCACCACACATTACTATCAGCTTCACAGCTTTGATAAACACCCCTGGCAGCAACCTTGAATACACATGCAACGCTGGTGTGCTGTGAATGCACGTATTAACTGCTCTCCTGCAGCCTAAGGGGTTTAGCTCAAGTTAAAGTGAGCCCTTTCAAAGTTTTGTGATTTCTCAGCCGTAAATCTTTGGAATAGGAAGATTAGATCTTGGAGAGATATCACTTAGCAGATAGTCTCACTCGGCTGTTCTGTGACGGAACAGTCCCAGGCTTGAGAAGACACAGGCCACTTCTCCACTCTTGACTTTTTCGGACAGAGGTGGTATCGCCAGCACCTGAGTGCCCCCACCCCCAGCCTCCTGTGAAGTAGTGGAGATAACTCCCCCATCTGAGAAGCTAAAATCAAGCCTCTGCTTTACTTCAGCTGTCAAGAGATTATCAAGAAGGGCAAAAATATCAACATACTGTGCATTTAGTTCCAGAGATGTTATTCTTAAAAGACAACTTTAGGAGTGGATAAAGGTGTGCCTCATTTTAAGGAATCTCAACTTCCTAGAAAAAGCGAAAAAACGTGCAAAACATACTTTCATTACAAAAAGGCTTCACTAACCTCCCTTGGCACATGTAAGCGAACATAAAATGCCACTATTTAATTCATATGCAATCTTTTAGGAATAAAGTGATTGAAAAAGTTAGTTTCATGAATATCATTGAAGCCAGTGTCACTGATTAAACCTCCAAGCAAGAAAGAACAATGGGAGAACACAGTAAGACAGCTGTGGGTACCATTTCATTCTCAAAGGGCATCTTTTCTTTTGTTGCCATTACTGAAGAGTATTAATGTCCTGCCCTGTCTGCATTCAAGTGTCTTGCAAACAGCTCGTCTATTCACAAGTGTACTTCGGCGCTATAGTTCTTGGATCTCACAGCTGATACTCAGGGTCAAAACTTTCCTGACATCCAATCTTTAGCAGAACAAGAGGCTCCTTCCTCCGGGGGATGGGGGCACCAAAAGAGCATCTGCTTATGGATCAGTCCCCTGGGAGAGGAAGTCAGAGACTCCGGCCTCGGGAGGGGGGACGGTTCTTGGGGCGCTGAGCCAAAACACTGGGAAAGAGATCCCCAAGACCAGCTTCTTCCCCAGGACAGCAGGGCGAAGCTCTCATGTGCAGCCTTCTAACTCTGGGGTGTCACGTGCTCTGACTTTCTTTTCTTTTCCTTTTTTAAGCTTTTTTTATTAGTATACGTTTGTGAAACAATGAATATTTTTCCCTCCCTCCCTCCGGCCTCTCTCCATCCCCACAAAGGCCACCTCCCTGTTTCTTTTCATCTTTCTTTATTTGGCTCCTTAAATTGTTTATACTTTGGGTTTCTCATATAGGAGGAAGCAGGCAATATTTGGTCTGATTTATTCATTTGTCACTATGGACACAAGGTGCATCTATTTTCCTTCAGATGACTCAAGTTTATCCTTCTTTATGGCAGAGTACTACTCCATTATGTATAAGTGCATTTTCTTTATCCATTTATCTGTTGATGCACATAGAGGCTGCTTCCAAGGTTAAGCTATTCTGAGTTGTGTTCCTATAAGCATGGGCATGCATGTATCACTGTGTTATTTCAGTGGCAAGCAGAAACACTGAAACGACACCCAGGATTTGGAGGCACATTTGTTTCCGTCAGTGGGCACTGATTGGGATCACTCCCAGAATTCAGGCCCTGATCTCTGGCGGTCTACGGGTTATATGGGATAAGCAAGCAGGAAGTACAGAGGCAGAGTGGCTTGTCCACTGGGGATTGGTTTATAGAACGTCCATCACAGTGACCAGCCATTTCTAGAAGACAAGAGCAACCAGAACTGGAACAGGAACTATTACCTGGGCAGCTGAGAAACCGAAGTATACTGGCTGGCAGCGGGGCACTTCCTGCTACCTTATGACGTCTTTAACTTTTCTGGGACAGTATACAGAAGAGGTATAGCTGAGTCAGATGGAATTTCAATTCACTAACTCTGGGAGCGGGGAGGGTCAGACACATGAGAGTCTTTCTAGACCACAGGGAAACAGTGGTGCTTCCGCACACATGAGCATACTCTTCCACAGGCTTCATCCCCCGGAAGAAGTGCCGAGAAGATGCTTTAAAAAGCAGCTCCTGTTTCTCCCCAGGAGGGATGTGTGCAGCACGCTCAGTGTCCTGGCTCTTCAGCTCCTTCCCAAAGGCCTGTGCTAAACTCCCCAGCTCTGGGAACAGAGGGACTCGGCGCCCGCATGTGTCAGGATCACAGGACCACAGCAGGAGGTGGTGGTTTCCGCAGTACACAAACACTTCAAGGCCACACCCATGGGAGCAGAGCAGGAAGGGGTGAGAACACACAGCTCCTGTTCTCTCTGGAAGGAGCTCACGGCCTGACTTCCAAAGAAGTGGCCCCACGGAACTAACAGGGCAAACAAACAACAGCCTTGTTAGCACCAGAGCCGGAGCTTGGTGCTTTGGGAGCCTCCCTCCACCTTCCCATGATAAAGCCAGGCTGCCCATTCTTCCTGCAGGGAATAAGGGCCACGGCTTCTATGGAGGCCACTCAAGGCTCTGCCTCTATCACACTAGTTCAGGGAGGCAGGGGGCTTGACGCCCCGGGGTGGTCCTAGAACACAGAAAGGGGACAGGATGCACACTGGGTCTGCTCCCAGCAGCTGTCTCCCAGAGTCAGGGGATGCAGCTCACACCAGGTTCGGGCATTTCTTACAAGTCCTCTCCCTGGCTTAGTCTAGAGAGGTGGAGATAAACGCTCATGCCCACTTCACCACTAAGACAGAAGGGAGGAGAACAAATTACAAAACACTCCAGCCTTTCCCGCTGCATCTCCAGAATCTGGCGGGGTGCTGATAGGATGGGGCACATCCTCGCCCCCAAGAGCCACTAATAAACAGATGACAGTGCCCTGGCCATGGCTTAGGAAGCACCTTAAAATCTCTGGCTAGATGGATTGCTGAGACCCTTCTCCTAGCACAGGCCAGTCCTACAAGATGTCTTATCTACACGCAGAGGCCAATGCACAGCCAAAGACACGAAGACACAGGAGAATAAATCCCAAATGATAGAAGATAAATCTCCAGTAACTGACCTAAATGAGGTGCAGATATGTGACTTACCTGACAGAGAATTAAAAGTAACAGCCAGAAAGCTGTTCCTGGGGGTCAGGAGAGCAGGAATAAAGTGAAAACTTCACCAAAGAGATAAAACTTATAAAAACATACCAAGCAGAAGTCCCAGAGCTCATGAACACCATAGCTGAAATGAAATACTCAATGGATATATAAAGCAGAAGAAAGGATCATGAACTCAAAGATCGCTAGAAATCACTCATCCAATCAGAGAAGCGAGAGATAAAAGGAAAAAGAGGAAAGGTCACTTGAGCCACTTATGTGGGCAACAGAAGGACTGAAAACCTCCAAAGAACTCACAGAGAGAGACTGCCATGCCCGGGGAAGGAGACAGCAAGCCGGACCCAGGAATCCCAGAGGACGTCAAGTAAGGTGGGTCCTGTGAGTCCCCCAGTGAAATTGTCCACAGTAAAGACAAGGCCGGGGGTGTTGTTCAGTGGTAGAACACATGCTCTACACATAAGGCCTTGGATTTGGAAAAAAGAAATACTAGAACCAAAAACAACACCCACAACAAAAAGGGAAAGGCAAAGAGAGAAGCAACCAGGGAAAGGGAAAGCATACAAGGGATGAGACTTTCTGTGGATTCCTCAGCAGAAACCTTGAAGGGAGAGAAAAACTGCCAGCTAAGAATCTGATAGCCAGTGACGGTATCTTTCAAAAACAAAGAGGTGCAAGGACCTTCACAGACAAACAGAAGGCTGAAGGAGTGGGGTGCTAATTAGTAACATGAGAATATGTGAAAGTAGAAAACTCACTGGGAAAAAAAGTACACTGCCCAGTGCAAAGAATCCTAGTACAGGAATAATGATGGGCAGATCAATTCTAGCTCCAGGATAAAGGTTAAAGGGGCAAGCTGTGAAAAACAACTACAACTACAGTAATTTGTTCAGGGATACAAATTATCAACCAATGCCAAGTATGACTTCAAAATCATAAGCTGTGTGAGGAAGGGAAGTGAAACGTGTAGTTTGTGAATGCGATCTGAGCCGAGTAGCCATCCACTTGTAGGTATAAAAATAGCATCCTATCTTATGAATTTGCTCACTCTCCTTACTGATACCAGTGTTATCTGTAGATCAACTTTTAGGCAATGAGTTGCTACCCAAACTGCGTGGATGTTGTCTAGAGGTTTAGCTAAGTAACTCAGCCAGAAGACAGGGTGCTTACTTTGTATACATCCTGATCCTGTGGAAGAGGAAAGCATGGAGATTATGTGAGAGCTACACGCCCCTTAGGTGGGGGTAGCCTGTTTACAATGTAAGGGAGGGAAAGAGCCTTCTTGCCCCCATTCCTCCCTTTTGCTCTGGCTGCTTTGCTATTCAGCTGCCATTCCCCCCTTTGCTCTTATTGCTTTGCTGTCTTCTGCCTCGGAGCCAGCCAAGTATGGACTGAAACCTCCACAAACTGTAACCTAAATAAACCTTTTCTTCCTCAGTTTTGGGCATTGGGTATTTTGTCTCAGCAAGGAGAGAAAAGTAACCAAGACAAATTGTAATACTGTCCTTTGGACCAGGCATACAATGATGTTCTCTGTTGAATCAATAAAGGACCATGAGGGAGAGTCATTAGCAATTCGTGGGATCTTATGGAAGGAACAAAAGTACTTTTCACATACCTGGGCTGAGAATCCACAGAAGAAACCGTACCAGAAATGCACAAGTGTAAATGCAAAATTCTTGTAGAGGAAATAGCGCAGGAATTTGCACATTCGGAAATAGGACCACCTTCCATGGACGAGGAGAAGCCTCTGCAGGTATCTAAACTGGGCAAAGGAGTAGTCGCTGGCCAAGACTGCCTGAAGCCCTTCCTGGCCGCTGATGCCGACGCCAATGTGAGCACCTGTAAGACGAGAGGGACTCGTTCATTCCCGAAACGGAGGCACAGCCTCTTCAGGAAACTTATCAGGGCTCTTTTATGTCTTTCATTTACTGGAAACCTGCAACTGAAGCAATTATAATGCCTCACAAGTGATCTCAAATACTCATGACGACGAGGTGTCTCCCCCAGTTTTACTTAAGAGGAAACTGGGCTGAAAAAAGCTCAGTAGCTTTCATAAGGTTTTACAGTTCCTGAACTATACAGACGGAGTTAAATGCAGGCATTGCCTATGGCTCTGGTCTCCTTCATCTACACTGTGGCTACTTATGTCCCCCAACGCTAGCAGGGGCCAGTGTCTTTTTCTAATCTAAAAAGTACACAAGTGACCTCATTAAGCACAAACAGATGGTATGAATGGTAGTAAGGGGGAAAGCACTGGATTCAAAAGGATCACAGCTTTAGAACCACGGCACAATCCGGTTTTAATGCCCTCCCTGTCGCACATCACCAGAGGCTGAACTGGGGGCCCTGGGTGTGCCCGGCCCCCCTGCACGAACACCTCGTACTTTTAATCATGCTGACATCGTTGGCCCCATCGCCGATGGCCAGAGTGACAGCATTTCTGTGCTTTTTCACCAGTTCTACCACTTGCGCTTTCTGGAGTGGGGTGACTCTGCAGCAGATCACAGTCTTACACAGGCAGGCGAGCTCCAAGAGGTCGCTCTTGACGTCGCTTTCAAGGGCATGGGCCTGGAACAGGAAAAGGAAAGTGACAGGCAATCGTAACTCAGAGCTGTAATCTGGACAGCAAATGTCTTGTTCTTAAACTGACTCTGTAAAGCTGACTTCACTAAACTGACTTTATTTCATTCATTTCAACGAGTTGTTGATTCATGGTCACAGAGGCAGCAAAAACTAAAGGAATGAATGTTGAACTCGTGGGAAGCACCAGGAGATTTTTTTTTTTAAAGATCTTGCTCCGCATGCGCGTGCTCTCCTTGACACCCGCCCATGCTGCTGTGGCAAGAGGGGAGAGGAGGTCTGGGACCCACTAAAGTTAGCAAAAGCGAAGGAAGGACCCAGGCCCCATCTCACAAGTTTAGCACGAACTGCAAATGATGGTGACTTATTGGCTGTAAAAGGGTGGTGTGCAACCTGCGTCTCAAACGGGTTCCCCAGCTATTTCTCTCTTGCACATATACAAACGCGTAAGAGCCTTTAGATATGCTGGGGTTGTTACCAGGTGGGGAGGATAATCCCCTTGAAGTAACTGTGGAATTAGTTTTCTAGAAAACATGTCACTGTACGTTTGAAACGGATACATTCAGAAGAAACACAAAGTCACTTAAACTTCCAGGTATCCTTACGTGATTCTTTAGCGAGACATTCCCAGCCGGTTACAAGCTGGCCCATCCATTCCTTTTGCGTTTTATCTTCTGCAGCCACCTTTAAGTCCACATTATATTCCCATCAAGCCAAACTGCTTGTTTCCTTTGATTTAAAAGGCCCTGTCTTGCGTCTGCCTCTGCACTTGCTGTCATCTCTGCTCGAAAATATCACTTCCTCCAGAAAGTCTTCCTTGATTTTTCTACAGGGAGCCAAATGAACTGTTTCTGTGTTCTCAAAGCAGTGTCTTCATTCTTCTCTTACTGTGTTTCACAAACTGTTACAGTCAATCCCTAAAACAAACACTGGGTTCTGTTTACATCATCATTCTCAGACTCTGACACTGTGACCTGCACATGTTTAATAACTGCTAATGGAACGAATGGGTGGCTGAGTGAATGAGCATAAAAGCCTAACTCTGGTGTAGAAACTTCTCATACCCAAGCCTGTAATTCCTAAAGGAAACTGTGGGCTTGTGTTCTCAGACGTCATCATCCGTTCTGAAAGAGAAACCATGTTACTGGCTGTCTTCCTTAGAGAGGTCCCGTTTTGTCTCTGTTCTTTCTTCTTTGTAATCAACAAGTAAAAAAAACTAGAATCAGACCTGGGAAATTGAAGCTGAGTTACATTCTGCAGAACATCAGGGTTTGAACAAATTGGAATCATGATTTTAAAACGACTTCTGGTGATACTAGCAAAAATAGAGTTGATGTTCCTTAAATGAAAATGGCATTTCATGGTTTCCTGGGAGTCAGGCTGTGAAGCTAAAGGGGTTCCTGGAGAGCGTCTATCTATCTTCGCTCCTTCTTTCAACAAATTCAGAGACAGAGAGCAAGACCACCTGAGCACTCTCACCCACCACACTTCGGCCTCCTTAAACTTAGAGGAAGGGCTAAGCACAGCTCATCAGGAAGCCTACCCATACTCTGGTCGCTGGGAGGTTCCACTTGGAGGCCACCAGCTCTAAGTCCCAGCTGACAGCCTTATAATTTTCAGTTGCCGCTCATGTGTGCAAGGGAGAAGTTCGTGTCATCTGAACAAACTTTCAACTGAGCTTGGCCTGCAGCTGAGCTCTGTAACGTTCGGTGGTGTAGAAGGCAGCACATCATTACCTCTGGAATCCAGCTGGATAATGTGCTGAGTACTGAGAGCTAACAGACAGATGAGCTCAAAGGGGAGAATACAATATACTCATGTCCAACTTCTTTTGTCCTCTAAGAAAATGTCTTCGGAAGAAACATTTATTTTCCAAACTCCAAAGTGAAAAACGATCATCAAAGCCAAAGAAAGATGTGAGATTAATTCTTTGTGCACATAAATGATAATTTCACTAAAATGCAATCGGAGCTTTTTGTATTCTAAATTAGAAACTCAGAAGAGTGTTTTGATATTTGTTCAAGACTTGGAACCTGAACTACATTAAAAGTACAATGCAAGTTTATTCTATTATGACAAGAACCAGATTTCCTAATCAAAGCAAATTGTTTGGCATTGCCGTAAAACGCTGCTATTTAGAAAAACCACCAGAGGTATCTTAATGGCAATAATTTGGTGTGGTAATTATATGAAGGTCAGGTTATGCTCTGCAAATCACAAACATTGGCAAAGCAATAATTGCAATTCATCCACCAAGTTGCCTTACTTTAATTAAATAACAGAGAACTGTGACACTCCCCCTCGGAAAAGCACTTAAATAATGCTGCTAAGTGGTCCACAGTCATTTAGACAAGATTGATATTCTGTGAATACAGTGTTTCTTCAGCGCTTCCCTGCCACTGTGATAGTTCAAGCAATAATGTATGAAATATACATTGGCAGTTTCCTTTCCCTTTGCAACAGGAAATCGTTGTGTATGCCCTGGTTTCTTGTACTGCCATTTGCCTGAGAAACAAAAGAAGAGCTCTTATTGTGACAGCACAAAGAGAGGTTTATTGGGCTAAAGGAAAAGGAAGGACAAAGGACTGCAGTGAACTCACCAAACTGTGGCCATTGATGACCAAGGCATAGTCCCCTGGGGCAGTGTCTTCTTCTCCCACCGAGGCCATCTCCAACTGTTGCTCTTTTCCACAGGCTGCATGGGCATTGAGAATGCTGTGGTTTTGTCCAGGCAAACTTTCCTTTGCCTTCCTTAAAGAACAGGGGGCAAGAAAGGAAATCACGACAAAGTACACAGAGCATGCCTTCAATCTAACAAGAGACAGGTCGAGGGAAACCCATTCCACCCCTCCTCAGAGGGAAGCTGGTGGAAGCCACAGTTCCAGTGAGCTGACCAGGAATTCCTTGTGATGTGGAGACTGGCAAATCTCTAGATCACAGGAAATGGGCAGGTAAACATGATGAAAACAAAGTCCTCTCAAATGGCTTATATTATTTACAAGGTAACTCACCATCTTGGGCTGGATTTAGCTAGTGTTTGATAGAGTTGGTATAAGCAGGCCGCAGAACCACTAAATAATGGAAAGCAAAAAGCTAAAGGCAATTGATGAAATCTAGGAATTCCATATATCTGAGGTACGTGCTTGAAATAGCAGTCTTCTGTGAAACACATTTTTTTAGAATTGACAATAAAAAAAAAAAAACTGATGGATGGTCAGGTCATTTCTAGTCATTACAAGACAGAATATTTTACGCAAAAATGGTACTCATCAGGCTGAACAATAGAACTCATCCTCTGGGAGCGTAACTACAGACACAAAAGTGCACAGGTTCATTCCAAATGGACTCTCCCTCCAAATAACCTAGATCTGAACAGCGGGAACTCTAGAGGAACCTTGCCCACATCCAACCCATCTCTCTTGTTGAAGAGGAAGCTTGTCGGTGACATAACACCCTTAGGTGGCACATTTCAAGATTCTCTTCAGAATGCAAAGATGATGCCTTGAAAGGAGAGGAATGTCCCTCTCTGAGGCCTCCTGAGTGACAGGATTGAAAGTGTCAGGGCAAACGGATCTGACCACGGAAGCTGCAGCCACAAAAAGAGACCCATCAACACATGCCCCGGAAGGCGAACACCTAAGCCACCAACCCTGGAGTCCACACGAGCCTCGTGAGGTGCGTGGCCAGGAGACTTTGGGGAGTGAAGGACAAACTAGACTGTGAATGCTTTGACTCGTGGCAGAATGGATGGGTTCCCTAAGAACTCATCCAATACAGAAACATTCGTTAAGCTGGCTTGAAGCAGAGGCACCTCTGAAAGAAGACAGTGGCCACTATAGCAAAACAACCCATTTCACCTTCGGCTTTCTAATTATTTGGCAATGTAATACTGTTTATACATGCAACGTCACAACAAAACCCCAAAACACCTTATCTTCTGGCTCAACATCTCCTTCTGCTGTCCAGAACAGAAATCACAGTCTGCATTTAGGTACAGAGAGATCACGCTCCCTCAGCCCGCAGGACAGTATCACCCCCTTCACATCCAGTTTGCAGAACCACAGGCGAAGATTTACAAAGCCAGAGGGCTGCGTGTGAGATGTGGGGAGTACGAGTAGGAGGGGAAGGCAGAGTGGACGTGAAAAATCATTGCTTAGGTGCGAGGATCAGACTTTCACAGCAGATAAGCTTGTCAGGGAATCCTCAGAGTCATGGGAATTTACGGTCCCATGTCATGAAGAAAACAGGGAAGAAGAGTTCCTTCGAAGTGGAGGCTTCTCCGACAGCACCGCAGAGCTCATAAATTGGATCTTAAATCACCAAGGGAAAACATCTCCTGGGGTCTCCTTTTTAGAAAAGCTCTCACTCACTGTATAAATGATTCAACCTCTGTTTTTCCCCGGATAATGAAAACATTCCAAAGAAGGGTGAAGTTCATGAAAGTATTGGCTGAAATTCTACTTACTTAGGTTCCCCCCACCGCCGAAACTCTTCCTCATATGTGACATGAGCCCTTCTTGCAGGCAGAAAAGGGACCATTTTCTCAGTTCTGTTTAAATTCACTCTGCTCTCTCCTCTCGGCCCTGACTCCCAGCCAGCTCGAGTGCTCGCTTTCCGCCCTTTGCCTGTGCTCTTTAGCTGTCATTTCTTTTCATTCCTGGAACTTAGCTCTTCAAACACCAGCGGGTTCTTGCAAAAACAATTTGTTAAGAGGGAGGGGGTACACTGAGCCTAACTCCCTTCAATGAATAGGAACTATACATTTTTGGAAGGCGTAACACACAGCGCTTGACCACAGAAGACAAATAACAAATGCTAAAACAAAAGAGTGCCTGTGTTTTCCAAGCTTTGTAATGAAAGGCAGTTTATGACAATGGGAGCATGTAAACACGCACTCATGTTGAGTGACCGACATTCACAGTCCCATAACATCACAATGCCTTCCTCTGATAACTCACACGCCCAAGGTTGAGTCACCTGACTTTAGGGCACTCAGTCAGTCAGTGATGAATCAGACTAGAACCCAGGACTTCAATCTCCTCATTGCTGGTCTACCACACCAAACTACTGTCTGCATAGAGTCAGCTGCAGGCTGCCCCCCGGGTTGGACAGATAGTTACAGAAGGGCAATTAAGGGACCAGTACTATTGCAGCAGTAGTGCCGAAAGGAAGAAAACTAATGAAATTTTTATTTCAGTGCCCAGGGCCACCGTCCCTTATAACTTAAAAGACCTGTGAGATCTTCAATTCCTGTCATTAATAACGTTGTTATTATTAGAAACGAGGAGGGTGAGACCAGCTAGTCAAACTGGCTGGGTATCAACCATTGAAAACGGATACCAGCTACAGAACCTTGGCTCTACTGCTGTGGGCTACAAGATCTCAAGATTAAGTACTCTGAAATTGTATGACTTATGAGAGAAATTTAATCTACTAAAACATTTCACCTGAATGACTGGAAGTTTAGGGTTGAAATCAAAATGCACTTTGTTGGGCCTGTGCAGGGCTTTACAGAGTGTATGTGACTACGGCAGTGTGATGTTCCTCTCCACAGAAGACCTCGCCACCCTGCCAGCCTCCCCACACACACACATAAATTGCCCAGATCACACAGTGAACCTTCCCTGCCCTGCCCAGCCCTGGGGCTAGCTGCATTTCCAAACCCTGTTCATTCAATACAATAATTTTCCATCAAGTAAGATGTTCAAAAAATACCAATGCACATTTTGTTGATTAAAGAGGAAATATCAGTTCTTAAGAATATCACGGGGATACTTCATAGACGCAGTGAAGTCAGTCACTTCATGGTTTAATGAATTTCTCTAACAACAAAACATGTGATCAATGCTACAAAAATGAAATATGGAATGAGTTCTACTGGCAGACCAAACAAAATTACATTCTCAGCCTGTTTTCCTTTGGGCAGAAGACATGTATTGGCAAAATGTAATCAAGGCAGAAATCTTCTGAGAAACCATAGCAGGGTTTAAACACAGGTTTCTGGGCATGCCCTTAAAACTAAGGCAGCTACGGCAGCAAAACTAAGCCAGGGCTCCAAGTGTCTAAAATGGTTTCGAGACATTAAATTTGAAACAAGCCGTATGTATGATACGCATGAAAATTACATATCCATGTTTATGAAATAATCTAAACACATTTGACAGGTTTAAATATAAGCATTTAGGTCATTTCCTTCCAATAGCTACTATCACTCAGATCCTATTCTTTTGATACACTTATTTTTTTTTTTTGCATGAACTTTCACTGAACTCGAAAGCATAACACAAGAAAACGGGATGGTACAAATTTATGATTTCAATATTTCACCCCAAAGTTAGGGCTTAGATATAAGTAACAAAGATTAGAAGGACAGCGAGCACCTTGAAGCAATAGCTTTCTTGGTGTACTCTCTCTCTCTGACTTAGATTAACCAGATGCATACTATGAATGTATTGATTCTTCTAAAATAAACTTTTCTACCATGCAGTGCCTCTGTCTTAGATTCAAGGAATGGGGTTTCCCCCAAATCTGGCTTGAAAATATTTCCAAGCAGCTGAACAAGGTGACCACAAGGGCTGTGAAATATTGATTCTAAGTGGAGATTTTTTTCTTCGGAGTATTTTTCTTCTCATGAAAAACATACGTTTAGTTTTTTTCTAATTCTGAAGATTTGGCACGAACACTACTACAACTTCAAATAATGCAAAGGACCATAAAGAAGAAAGTCAACATGATGCACAAAGCTATTACCCAGAGACAACTGTCTATGCTTCCCAGCATTTGATAAATAAGTAGGTAAGCACGTGGTATTCTATGGATGCACACACACATATGATACTATATGTATTATTTTGCCAAAAAGGGATCATCCTATGCATGATGTTTTATAATCTCATTTTTCACAGGATAAATAATATTATAGACATCTTCCAAAGTCAATAATTACTTTTATTGACTGCATAGTATCCCACTGTGTGTATTTAACAAACTCTTTTGTGGCACAGTATTTTTTCTATTTCTAATTGTATATTATCGTAACTGATATAGCAATAGATATTTACTTATATACATAGTCATACTGTTTCCCACTTACATTCTTAGGAGAATTCCTAGAAGTAGGAATCACTGGGTCAAAAGTATACTATATAATTCTGGAATATATAGCTAGTTTATCCTCCAAATAGTTTCTACCAATGCACATCCCACAAAGCAGTGAGATGTCCAACAAGCCCATTCTTTAGATTAACCCTCAAGAGAAGAAGAGTAGGCTGAAGGTGTGTTGAGGAAGCATACAACAATCAGCCAGGTGCACAGGCTGCTGAAAGTCAAAGCCCAGGAACACTATTTACTAGTTCGGGCAAGCTACTTCCTTGTCTGTATTTCAACCTGCTAATCTGTAAAACAGGGAGAACTTTAATGCTGACTGGTGGGTGGTTTGAGAATGAAATGAAGTAATATAGATCCACACTGCTCACGGCACTATTCCAGACAGGCCCTCAAAACTTTGAACCACAGACTCACTGAATCCAGGTCTGCTTGCTTTTCTATCTTCCCCCATCAAGAGTCGAATTCCCCCAAAAACAAAACATCATTTAAAGAATTTTTTTTAATTTGAATTAGTTGTTAAATAAATTATTTCCCCAAGAGCCTCTATGGAGTCCATCATTAGAATTATATGAAAATGATGCAAAAATCATGCACTCCAACAGAAATACCTTCAGTGTGTTGTCAAATGAATAAATCATAAAGTGCTATCGATAATAACTAAGTTGTATCAGTAAAAATTAATTAGATTTCCCAATTTTTATTTGGCAAAGACATATGGAGCTTCCAGTCACAGCCTCTAACCAATGAGAAGTCTGATCTTCAAGTATCTCCTGGTGGGACTGACATCCAAGGCTGACTTTTCAGCAAGTGGAGCTTAGAGAAGCTACCACAAACAGTAACAAGCAAAAATTATTATGAGACAGCATTTTTAAAATGCTAGGGGAAAATTATGTAGATTTTTAAGTGGTCTCCAAATGAAGAAAGAAAGTAAATGGGTAGATATTTGGAAATTTTATGTCTCTAAGTCTAATGTTTATCCACTATGGTCCACAGTGTCAGTGCTTACATATGTTCTGGTTCTCTGTAGCAGTTTTATGAATGTCATCTATACTTCTCATAAGCACTGTATGTCTAGGTCCCATGGTATGCCAAACTACTTATTTTCCTTAATGCTGAAAAACAATTCCAACTTCATCTGCCATCTGTTACAGCTGCCTTTTCCACATTTATCTGCTTATCAAGTTCATCTAGTTTTTCTGTAAATGAAAACCCTCGCACCCCATTCCCTGGAGGTTCTTCATTTGTTGGTCAAAATGCAGCCAGAGAACTCACCAGAGCGCAATATTAAAAGACAATTCAATGTAAGTGATGTGAAATCCTTCGCTAAAAAGCCTCAGGAGACACTGGAGGCCTGAGGACAGTGATTTGCCCCTAATGTCAGACATACCTGCGTTTGTCACCAAGATGGTGGAACTTCAGGAAATGTGCAGAGAACACTGCAGGGTTGGAATCATGCAAGACCATAGGGTATCTTTCTGCTCCCTCCCTGGTCTGAGATTCCCCTCCCCACTCCCACCCTCCTTTTCTCTGCCCACCTTCAACTCTTACCTGAGCTCTTCTCTCACTTCCCCAACAGTGTTCCCTGCTACCACGAACACATCATTCATGTCCTCGGTCAGCATGTTGCAGGCATAACCGATGTTGATGGCAGTTTCTGGTGCAAGATAAAGCTACTTCAGTTAAGGCATGATTTAACAGCGTAAGTATGTTTTTGATAAAAGCTATGATGCCATAGCTGTATCTCCCCACATCCTATGGACCTTGTTGTTAACTAGGTAGAGCATGATGAGTGATAAATACAAGGGAACCAGAGGGAAATTCAAAGAATTTGAATGTACTCCATAATCAAATTCACCACTCCCTAAGCCCATGGAGAAGTATTAACCTCCACAAAACCTTAGCCTCCTGTTTACCTTTAGATGTTCAAATCATCACCCATAAAGAAACTCTAAAATTCTGTGGCACTGTAATGTACACATATGCAAATATAAAACTTTTTGATCAGAAACCCTGAATATTGCTTTCAGAGAGCCAAAATACTGAACTTGGCTAATACTCAGTTCTAGTATGGTAGGCAAATTGCAGAAAGAACTCGTAAAGTATCGAGTTGAACAACAAATAAAGCTCTTTAAAAAATTATAGTTCTCCCACACAGAACATGGATATTTTTCCATTAAATGAACAGATATTTGGAATCTAATTATCATCTCAAAAACCACCCAGAGCTGCTCTACTAGAGAACTGCCAGATGACATGATTTGTGGGGGCAGGCTTCCTCTGCTTCTGGAGAAATAGAGCCCAGGATAGCTAGCGCCTCCCTCCTTCAATAAACTCATTTGATCCTAATTCTATAGAATCATTAGATGCTTGCTAATACTGTGGAATTGATAAATTTGTCCTATGTTGAAAAAGGCAATGGATAAAATCTCAGCATATCTTTTGTATAAACTAAAGCATATCTCTCATAAAAATCAAAAGCGAAATAACAATAAATTCATAGATGTTTGTAGTAATCAAACAGCAGTCCACACAGACCAAGAGCACATTTTAATGAGCCCATATCTAGTAATATACCAGAAGGTTCCACTCTCTACTGTTTAGTTTTTGAATCAATAATTTGACAAAGATATGGAGAACTGATTTCTCATGTCTGTGAATCCCCCAATGCCCTACAAAATGACCAGTAAGTGGGTAGAATCGTTAAAACAAGTTAGAGACTATGGCCCCACCAGGGCCAGGTTCTCCTGCCCCTGCTCTTGAAGAACAAATTCCCAGGATATCAATCCCAGCCCCATGTGCCCCAATTTACACCAAACTTCCTCTATTAGAAAAATCAATCCCTGTAGGCCAACCTTGGAGGGCTTGCCAAGAGTTAAACACAAGACAGCATGGGCAGAGGGCACCATGGGTCCCGGTAGCCCTCTCTGGAGCTGGTATCACAACATTGTGGGAAAAAAGGACATTTCTGAGAAAAGCCTTCCAGGTTTGCAAATGGTTTCCAAGCCCTGACGCTGGTGTTTGAACTGTCTTGGAGGAACATGTGATAGTCTTGCCTAGATGGTACACCCAGGATGAAAAGCAAAGGATTTCAGATGTGGCAAGGTGATGCGCCGGTTCAATTTGTGCTGCCACACCTGCGGGAAACCGTCTTGGAGCAGTAAATGTTCCTGTTGTGGTTGATACATTGTGTCAACTTGGGGAGTCTGGAGGTTTGGCTAAGTGACTCAGCAGTTCTGCATTCTGGGGTGAAAAGGACACCCCCTTACCCTTCTGGGATGTTGTTCATTGTGTCAGTGTGAGAAGTTTAGAAGGTTAACTATATGATTCAGGGAGCCAGGGTGCTTACTTTGTATCACCCTGAGCCTGTGCAGGAGGAGGGCCTGGAGATTATGTGAGTGCTGCACGCCCCCAGGGTGAGGGGAGCCTGCTTACAATATAAGGGAGGGAAAGAGGCTTACTCTCCTCTCTGCCACTCCCCCTTGTGCTCTTGTTGCTTTGCTATCTTTTGCCGCCATGAACATTTGCCTTCTGCCATGTGCCACTCTGCCTTGGAGCCAACCAAGTATGGACTGAAACCTCCATAAACTGTAAGCTAAATAAACCTTTCCTTCCTTCATTTTGGACACTGGGTATTTTGTCCCACAAGGAGAGAAAAGTAACCAAGACAGTCCCAGAGACAGATTCCAATTCAAATTATCACATAGGGAATAAAACTTCTAAAAAAAAAAAAACCTAAACGGTAACCACCATCATCATGGGAATAGAAAACTAGCACTAGAAAACAAGTTAATTATATAAAAAATAAAGGTCACCTAAGGAAAAGAAAAAGTTCCCTGCCATCTTTCATAGCTAGCTGACAGAAGCCTTTCAAAAATATCAGTCTTGATTTTTTTTGTCACAAGACAGAAGAGCCCTTGTGGGACAAGATTTCATTAGACTGTCAGCTCCAGACATCTGCAAGGAAATTACAAAAACTCCAAATGGGACCCCAAGCTGCCTTGGCCAAATTATTGGATGTAACGTTCTCCGTCTATAATAACAGAGACTTGGAGGAGAGCCATAGAAAAGATGACAAAAACACAAGACAGGCCAGAATTATGGCTGCAGTCACTGGCGATACACTAAACAAACCCCAGAAGCACTGGGCCCCAGGGGGCTCCCAAGGTGGTCAAAGGAGCCAGGACAAGCTTGCCTCGCTCACAAGGGCCTGTCCTCAGTGTGAAGACTACAAGTACTTCCCAGAGAGGAAGGACATCAGTCACCAGGACCACCGCTGTCATTGAGGAGGAAGAGGATGGAAGAGGGCTGGGGTTCTACAGCGACTCTCCCATTTGAGAACATCTTTGTCACCTCTGAAAAACCCCAAGTAATGACCCTAGATGCCACTGGCAAGCAAATTTAGGAGTCTAATCAGACTCTTAAAGGGACCTTGGCAAAGCTATGGCAGGACAGCTCCAAGCCTGGGCTTAGGCAACTCCCTGTCACTCTCTGAAATCAAAAATACCACCAAGACAGGCTAAAGTTTCAGTCCGTATCAAAGACTGTACGAGAAGCCTTTCTCGTCCTCAGCATGGCAGAGGAGCTGGAAGGCGGTAGGCTCCTCCAGGGCCTCATCAACCCAGGCTAAGCACAGCAGGCCACCCAAGAATACCACAGTGCTATCCATCAGCTCCCAAACAGGAGGCTGTAGAAATCCACCTGGAAATCAGCTCTTATTAAAAATCCAGAAAAGGGGGAACCTCTTCAGATCAATTAAAACCCAAACAACAGGCTCATTTCAGGTCATCCTGGCTATCCTCCCGCCAGCAGCCAAACTAACACAAAGAGACAGCAGGGTCCACCTTTCAGGGTCAAACCAGCCCCTGCAAAGGCTGTGCACCCAGAAAGCCTTGCAGCAGTTAGGTCATCTTCAAACCCTTCAAACCTGCCTGATGATCCTGTCTCTAAGCTGTACAAGAGCATCTTAAGTGCTGTCAGTGACCATGGCTTAGACATCTTTTCTGACTCTATGCTATTTCTAAATTTCATCTTAGATCTTCTCTTACAAGGAGATCTGACTATAACCTTAGGACTCCCATAACACCAGTAGACTAATTCTGGGATGGAGCTTTGTCAGTTGTGTTGTAACCTTTACTGTTACCCCACTATCCTGTGTTACAGTCTAACTACCTCGAATTCAGTAAGATCAAACTCAGAATCTTCTAACCAATAAGCATACTTTCTGCTCATCTCAACCCTCTAGCAGGCATGCGACAGCAATGAATTATTCAGTCTCTGCGGCAAAGAGGCCAAGGACCACTGGAGCTCACAAGGACCGTGAGGCCACTCTCCTTCATCCTGTCTGAACCCTGGGAATGTCCCTGTTTCTCTGAGAGACTACAGCTTTCTTGTGACTTCCCTCAGTATGCATGGGTACTTGTATGCTGGCTTACCTTCTCCCTGTGTTAGCCATTCCTGATCCTCCAATACCAGTTCCTCTCTCCAGGATCTGTCATTAGTCACTTCAGGAAGGCTGAACTCATCTCCTTCCTAATGCTTCTATGAATCCTCACAGGAATAGGGATGGGGACAGGAGGACTATTACATTCTCTGGTCTTCACATTGTCCCTTAGTTAAGAAATTGTCCCTTAGTTGTCCCTTAACAAATAATTGACCTGACAGACGTCACCAAGACTCTTCAAAGACAAGTTAACCCCTGTATCCAAGCTGTCCTCTAAAGACGCAGGGCACTCGATTTGTGTACAGCCAAACATGTGCCAGGCTAAAGGAAAAACGCTGCCCTTTATTAACAAAACTGGCCAAGTGACCGTTAACTTTGATCCTATCACATGAAGGCCAAGGACAATCAGAAGCACTGTGAACACTGGGAGCTCGAATGGTCAGATTAGAAATTCAGTGTCTGCTCCTGGTCTCTGGCTAGCTTCTTCTGCAGAACCTCACAAACCACAACCTTCCTAATCTTTGGACCTTTCTTAATCACCCTCATTTCTATCTTCCAGATTATAGCAGCCCCAAGCCAGGCTAATGTTAGTTGCTGGATTTCAGCCTGTCCCACTGGAACCCAAGCAGGGATCCCCCTACAACCCTTAGATCAGATAGGGTGAACCCAGGGCCCCCTATGGCCAAGAACAATGACATTTCAGTAGGAAACAGCTACTGAAAGAGAGACCTTTAGGCCCTCGACTTCCCATAAAGATTCATGGGATCAAGTCTGTCAGGGGGAAGTTCAGGGAGGAGAGAGCAAGTGTGGGAGACATCCTGGCCACAAGCTCACAGCAGACAGGATGCTTTCTGGCTCCTGGAGATCATGCTGTCACCACTTTCCTTAACGTCCTGTCTTGAACCTGAGAAATGTACTCCTGCTCTTCCCTGACCTTTGGCATGAACCCAAGGAGCAGAGATTTATTAAAGGAGTAGACTACTTAAATAGGCATGAGTCAGTCAATTATTTTCAGTTTACTGATAGTCCAGTGTAAAATCATTTTGATTTTTTTTTTTTTAATTTTTTTTAATTTTTTTTTTTTTTTTCATTTTTCTCCAGTACCGGGAACCGAACTCACGACCTTGCGCTTGCCAGGCAGGCACTTTTGCCGCTGAGCTAAATCCCCAGCCCTTCATTTTGATTTTTAACTATGAAAACAGCCCAAAGGTATTGACCACCTTTCCTCTTTTAGGAAAACAGTACTCTGAACATAATGACTCAGCATTTTGTCAATCCTAAAAGCGGGGCAATTCTCACTGTTCTCCCAGGGAGCCAGGCTGCACAACTTCAGCTTTGGTGGTTGTTAAAATACTAAGAGATTTCCAAGAACAATTGATGAACACGTTTGGCTGAGCCTCTCCAAAGCCTGTCCACCACCCTGACCTCTCCTATCAAGAAATTAAAGGTGCAACCCACACTCCCCAATATCCTGCTTCAGAACCATGAATATCTGCCCTCCTTGGGGGCAGTGCTCATGTTCATAATTATTAAGTATTTTAACACCATTATTTCCCTTAGATATTAGAGAAAGTTAAGTTGAAATTCTACTGATCCCATGATATACTACAGAAACTATTCTATCAGTTTGGTTTTGATTAAGTAGTAGATTCTTGCACTATACCAGCTTTTTGTGCATCTACTTTTTGCTATGTGGAGGACTGGACAAATATCTAAGTGATTAAAATTTTTGCTTAATTAATAATTTTATTAATTAAGAACTCAACTCCCCTGTCATCGTCATCATCATCCATTTTCAAATTACCTTGTTTGTCTCCTGTTAGAACCCAGATCTTAATATTGGCTAGCGATAAACTTGCAATAGTGTCTATCACACCTTCTTGTAATTTATCTTCTACAGCAGTGGCACCTAGTAGCTTCAATGGAAAATGGAGAATAACTTATGTTAACACATGTCCCACAACATTCACAATATCTATCTCTTTTAGTCCCAGAGTGTGGGGGTCAAGAAGTAGGAGCTGAAGAGGGAAGTTATTCTGTGTTGATACAGCAGGCATCCTGTCATGTTCAGAGTAGGCTGGAAAGGACCCCAAAAGCAAATTTCTAAATCAAGCCAACTTGAGTGCGGAGATCCTAGGAGTTAGAGTGACGTATGGGGGTGACCTGCTCAGATGCCATGCTAACATCATGGGTCCAAAGCCATGTAGTCTTACTGGACATCAACAATGGAGAGGTCCACACAAGGGAAAGCCCTTGGCTCATGGCCGGAAAACATCACAAAAAGCTAGAACCACTGACCTACACTAACGAACTGGCACATGTATTAATAAAAACTGAAGCTTGCTGTGCCATTTTCATCCACAGATGAACAAGACGTGCTCCCTAGTACTCACAGGGCCTAGCTTCTCCACCACCGGCTCTAGGGAAGAGCAGTTTCTAGCATAGACCATGCTCTGAATAGCATGGACAGTTTCTAGCATGCTCTGAATAGCATGGAATAGCAGTTTCTAGCATAGACCATGCTCTGAATAGCACCAGACTCTCCCTGGCCTTGGACTGTTAGGGTCATAGCCCGCTCTTCATAGCAAGTTTCTGTGCTCTAAAAAAGTGGGTCATAAAGCAGAGAGAGAAAATGAACCTGTAAGAACATAGAGGACACATTGGGAGTTAATAGCTAGTAGGGAGGCTGCTATCTTCAACTCTTGGGGGCTTCCAGTTGCAGAAACTACTGCAACAGCACAAAGCGCTGGGCCAACCATGGCCAGCTCAGAGCCCAAACACACAGAAGAACACAGGCTCGGTGTCTGAAAGCGCAGCACTGCTGTGAGAAGGTGGTTGGGCCCATGGTGTTTCTACAACCATACGTCTGCACGCTTCTGGACTGATACCATCAGATCTCTTTCAATTTCCTCATACAGCTGAGATATCTGGTCGTCCCTCTCATGGGCAGCAGCACTTGCAACCTCGAGCATCTTATGCCACTCTTTGAAGTACTTGTCATCCAGATCTTTGTAGGCGATCGCCAAGGTCCGAAGGCCTTCCCCTGCGAAGTCCTGCCGCAAAACAAAGAGACTTAGGAACTTCCGAAAGAGCAAGCCCAGCTGCACCCATTGCCACCATGAAGGACAAGAAGTTTTCCCTCCAATTCATATCATCCCTAGGGCACTACTTGGCCATCCTGACTCATTTTTATCTCCTCAGCAATGGGCGATAGTGCTTGTATTGTATTTGTATGCTGTTAAAACCTACAGAAAGCACATGCCTATAATCCCAGCTATTTGGGAGGCTGAGGCAGGAAGATGGCAAGTTTGAATCCAGCCTGGGCAACACAGTGAGACCTCGTATCATAAGAACAATTTTAAAAAGGCCTGGGGATATAACTCAGTGGTAGAGTGCCACTGGGTTCAATCCCCAAAACCACAAGAAAGAAATAAATAAACAAATCCTTGTGGAGGGGGCAAAGACAGCTGAAATGTTTGCAAAAAAGGCCTGGCTGAGAGATGATCAATGGTGCCCACATGATCATTTGTTAAATTTTTTTGGTGGCTCTAGAGAGCCAACCCAGGGGTGCTCTGCCAAGGAGCTACATCCACCATATTTTTTATTTCTAAATTTTGGGCTTAGGACTCTGAGGCAACACACACTGTTTTCCACTCTCCCTTGCATAAAGAATGTTCTTTGGTGGCCTGTCTTGGTTACTTTTCTCTGGTTGCTGAGACAAAATACCTGATGCCCAATATTAAGGACGGAAAGCTTTATTTAGGTCACAGTTTGCGATCACCTGGCTCCAAGGCAGAGTGGCACATGACAGAGGGCCCAGTTCATGGCAGAGGAAAACAGCAAAAGCAGCAAGCACACAAGGGAGGAATGGCGAGAAGCAGCCTCCTTCCCTCCCTTATATTGTATGCAGGCTGCCCACCCAGGGCGGGTGTAACACTCACACCCATAATCCCGGCATTGGGCCATGAATCAATCACAAACTCTAGAAGCCCGCCCCATGACTGTGTGAGGCTTTGGGGGGACATCCAGACACAAACCATAACATGGCTCCTGGCTTCCAGTGAAGAGCAAGGACCTCAAAGAGCCACAGTTATCAGATCCAGGCAGGAGGTGCTTCAGGGAACCATACCTGGGGCTACCACACTCCCCCTCATGTTAGACCTGTGCCCAGAATTAATCCAGGCCTGCTCTGTACATGCTTGAAAATTCTCATAATGAAAAACTAAAAATAAATAACAAATGAAGTCCTAGGTGTTGCATAGTTGGGTAGTAGAAGTTTAAGCATATGATATAGAGATGTGATAGTACTAAGGGTGAGGAGAGACAAAGGAAGGAAAAGAAAGGCTGGAAGTGGAGGCTGCTTTACTTTTCCTTCTACTGTGCAACCGCAGTTTTTTGGCTGTATGACTGTTTCACTTTAGTAACAGGAAGTTTTTTGAAATTTTAAAGACACCATCATCAAGTCAGGTCAGCTTTAAAAAAAATTATTATTGTTATTTTTTTTTAACCAACTATGTCCCACAGAGTTAGTACTTAACAGTGACTCAAAGCCATTCTTTCTTCCCGAAAGAAAAGGAAACCATTCTTTTCTGAGAGGGTCTCAGTAAACCGACAGTTTCACATGAAACCTCTGGTACTTTATCCCTGTACAAGAGGGAAAAAAATAGGAGACTGGTAGCTGCTCCGAGTCACCCATAACCCCAATAGCAGGAACAGGCGCAGATCACTTTGGGAAATGCTAAAAACCTCCCACTTCGGCTCTGCCTGCACTGGTCACTTTATGGGGCTCTTCTGGGCAAACCAAGCACTTTATAACCACTTCTGCTCCTCTGGGGGCTGCCTTGGGCATGACTTCTCCATTGTGTTTCAGCGTAGAATACGGATAGAGATTTATGCACAAGTTAAACCATGACCCACACTAACTGGATAAATAGAAAGAAAAGTGAGTGCGTACCGCAGCGATGCTGCTGAGCCCAGAGAGATCATGAGAAAAATTACCCAAATTTATCACATAGGCAGTCGGTGGCGTTCTGAAGATTGCAATCATATTTTACAAGCCCTGCTTTCCAAGACCACCGCTGAGCACCCTTCTGATCTGAAAATCTAGTTACTGCCTTATAGCGCTCTTTTGTCCTTGTAATTCGCACAAACACTCTTTCTCCTCTAACTGGCAGCCTTACTGGCTTTCTCAGGGCCTTTCTCTGTGTTCTGCGCTGGAACAGTGAATCAACTCAAGGATGACATTACAAAAGACGACAGATGATTTAGGTTATTTAATTAGTGCATGAAACACAAGCTTAATCCTAAAAGAGCACTGGAGCGAGGTCTTTTCCTATCGTTAAACAATTCAAAATCAATAATTAAATACAAATTTTAAAACTTCAGAATCTAGAAGGCAAAATAAATAAAGTGAATGAAGCAGAGAACAGACCAAGCTGATCTTGCCAAAAAAAAAAAAACAACATCCCCTTGCATAGATACATAAAAATACCAAGCTAGGCTTCCTGCACTTTAGTATGAAAGGAGAATACATGAAACTCGAGGGCCTTGGTGTTTAAAGACAAAAATCAGATAGTTCTGATTCCAATATTGTTTTCATAAAAAAAAAATTTTTTTTAAAAAGACTATGCCAGCCTTCTGGAAAAGATTAAAAGAAAATCAAGAATGCTCTATTGGAAAGACAAAAACAATAGCTATGTTTGTAACCAATATTACTAAACCATCATTTTTTAAACTTAAAGGCAAAGTTTTTATATTTTATTTGTTTGTTTTTAAGGATTCAGGGAATGTTTTATATTAACTATAAGGCCTGACAAAGAACATGAATCTTCAATAATTTTTAAAGGGGGAAAAGAAAAAGCCATGAGGAAATGAGAGTTTTGACCCGTTCCCCTCCAAGTTTGTGGGGGGTTGCACAAGACCTTAAGAAAATCTTAGACTCTCAGGTTCAAGTCACGTAACATTCACGTGAACTCAGCACTTGCACTTCGAGGGTAAATCAAGGAGCCAACATCACCTTTGCTCCCTTCAGAACACTTTTGGAAGGAAATTCTGCTGGTCTTGGAAGGTGTGAGTTTGCGGCACTTGTGATGTACAACCTGAATAAAAGACCCTCGGGGGAGAAGACTGGCTTCAGAGCAGCCTCAGCCTCCTCCTGGGCTATCATCCGTGATTCCACTGGGCAGGACACACCAAGGAAAAGCAGCTCTCCAGCGCCACTTCCTGGAACTGATCCAGGCTTCCAGGGAAAGTGTCCCACCCCCACCCTGAGTCCCCTGAGCACTGCTCAGGGCCCTTGTGGTGCGGCTCCTTCTCCTCTGGGCTGAGCCTCCTGTATAAGGCTCACCAAAGTGCAGCCGGATTCCAGACCCTCCTGGACACAGCTTCATGTGCCTCAGCCCCCAGGCTGCTCCCTATTTCTGGAGTCAGAGCATTTCCCTGATGCTTCTTAAGCAAGATCCAGCCACAGGAGATGGCAAGGGGGCCGCTGTGCCACCCTGAAGTTAGAGGCACTTACGCTGAGATGGTCTGACGTCAGCGACAGAAGGTCCTTGCTGGAAGGATGCAGTCTTTCAAACAGGATCGTGTCTGCTCCTTTAGAATAAAGCTTTATCTGCCCTTCTGGGTTTCGAACTGAAAAGAAAACAGGTTTGGAAAAGTGGATCCTTATCAAGGAAATCTGTCAAAACTACTCCGGTGAGGCAGTTTGGAAAAGGGCATCAAGCTTTAGCCAGTGGTAGAATATTCAGTGACACTGGTTAGAAAGTCATACCTAAGTCACTGGGCTTCCTGTGTATGTTACTAACTTAGAAATAACCTTCCTACTGGAATCTTTTGACTTCCCCAAGTCAGAAACAAGTGTTTGTGTTCTAATGCACATGACTTTCTTGTTTTCCTTGCTTGTTGTTGCTGAAGGGTTGATATATTTGAATTAAACCTTCTGTATCTGAGCAGAATTCAGAGCTGTGTTTAAAAGCTCTTGGTGTGAAATTCAAGACCTACTGTTCAAAGCGCTATCATTGTTCTGCCAAATTGTCTCCATATGGAATTCGAGACACGCCAGCCATGGTTTATGCATTAATCCTTGGCCCTTGCTGATTTATTTCTTTACCACCTCTGCTCTTGGAAAAGCCCGTGTATTCTCAATGGTTTATTCTTGGGTCAATCATGGCAACAGCACACCCCACCGAGAGCTTTTAAAAAATAAAAATAAAGCCTCTACCCTCTTGCTGCAGAAAGTCTGCTATTATGAGGCTGCGTTTTTGACCTCCCCAGGTTTAGGGACAACAGCCTTCCTTCATCTCCGACCCTCCCTGCAGATCTGTCACCAAATCTTTCAGACCATCTGACCCACATTGGCAGGCTTGGTTTCACAGCTTGTCATAAAGTAAGCACTTAATAATTACTTATTGAAAAAAATACATGAATGAGTGAATGACTTGGTTATATATTTCTTCCTTCCCAGGAGCTGTTTACAATTTAAGGCAGTTGTGTGGGTCCGAGCTTCCTGCTCTGAACATTGTAGCCCTCATGGGCTTCATCAATTAAATCAAAGAGCATTCCATGCTTCCCACTTAATTATACCTTTTCTCTAAAAGTAGAATGCCTCCATACAGTGAGCAGAAATACCCACTACTATTAAATTAATGAGATATAAACCTTAGAGTTTGATTTAAAGGAATATAACAACCCAGGTACAATAATTAGCTACTTTCCCCCTCTAACTTTTAACTACCCTTAGTCAATGCTTAATTTATTCTAATTTCCTCCTGGCTTAAATAGATGTAATGCACCCTGTGAACTTTTTAGTACAGGATCCTGTCTAAGTTTTTCTTCTGTTCTAAGCTCCTCTCCCAGCTTTTCTAGTTCCTGAACTGATTACTCACTTTGGGAGAAAAGACAGAAACTATATAATCAATTCATATAATTGTTCAACTAGAGGGTAAAAAATAGTCCTAGGGAAAGTTTTTTCTTGCTTTTGTTCTACAACCATCCAATTTAAGAAGTTCCCTCCATATTTTCCCTTCTAACACTGGAGATATAAATGCAGAGTATGTATATCCTATATTTGCCAGTATGACTTCTCTATGATTATTTTTGTAGTCCAGAGTAGGGTATGATTCTCAAATGTTTTGGTCTCAGGATCCCTTCATACTCAACACCTAGGGAAGGTTTCAAATCTGATTACATCAATACTTTGGTACTACTAATTATAATATCACTATAGCAATGATTATTATAACAGCAATAAATCTAACATGTACTAACAGATAATTTTTCTATAAAAATAACTACATTTCCTAAACAAAAATCTATAGAGAGTTGACATTGTTCTCCATGATTATGGATCTCTTTAATGTCTGGCTTAATAAAAGACAGCTGGGTCCTCACAGCTCCGGCTTCATTCTGCTCTACTATCACACATCATGTGAGTTGGATGTGGTAGTGCACACCTGTAATTCCAGCACTTTGGGAGCCTGAGGCAGGAGGATTGCAACTTCAAGCTTAGTCTGGGCCATTTAGTAACTTAGTGAGATTCTGTCTCAAGATAAAAGAGGGCTGGGGATGTAGCTCAACATGGAGACCCTGGGTTAGATTCAATTCCCATGCTAACAAGTCACACATAATATAGCTGCTATAAAACTCCATAGCATACTCATGAGAAAAAGACTGAAAAAGTCAAATAACAGTGGTACAACAATGAAAATACTTTTGTCCAAATATTCTTGTTCTTGTGCCTCCTCTGAAAAATCTCAAGGTTTCCTCTGAAAAATTTAAGGTTCTCCAAACTACATATTAAAAATCTCTAAAAGAATCACAGACTGAGTGTGATTTATTTCCTGATCATCTCTATATCTCAGTTTCTACACATAAAAAGAATGTTTAAACAATTTAACTTTCCACATCCTTTCCAGTTGTGCAATTCTCTGATTCAATAATACCTTCTACACTTGATGCCTTCTCTTAACCCAGACCCACCCTTTAAGTCTGAGATTGTGTAAGTTCAATTTCATGGAATTCTGGCGAAGTTTCCTTACTAAAAGCATTCATATTTCTTTTTTCCCAAGGCTTTGGGTCATTTCTGTTGAAAGTTAATAAAATTTCAGTCACATCAGAAGATAGCTTTTTTTAAAACAAATTTAAAAGAACACAATAGCTTTATGTGGTCACAGTAACACGTACGCAAAGGGCACAGCTTTTATGTTATAAATCTTCCATTGCTTGTCCTTTAAATACTAGAGAAAGTGCTGCTCTCCCAAGATATTCTCAGAGTCTGTTTCTCCTATCCTTCATTTTCACCCTGGCAACTCCATTCATGTTTGGTCTCAGGTTCCATCACAAGGCAGAGTGCTCTCAAAGGGATAGTGCCTGCCCAAACACCTCCAGCATCCTTTCTTACCTACCCACCCACTACCAGCTGAGCATTTCTTAGATGTATCCAGGCCCATCAATCTCACACTGGTCACATTCACCTTCCTCCAGTAACTGGCTACTTCTCTTATGATTCAAGTCTCTGTAATCAGCTTTGCCATTCATTCATTCTCCCAACCCAGAAATCTAGCCATCACCCGTAGTTGCTCCTCCTGCAAACCAAGAAAACACCTGACACATACAATTTAAAGGAGGAAAAGTGAGTATGGGCTGGTGATTTCAGTCCATGGTCAGTGGATGAATCCAGGAATGAGGTTAGCACTTCATGGTCCAATCACCTTTCAACAGCCCTACCTCTACCACCTGAGACTTCTGGGGTCTGTTTTTCACCCAACCCATGACAACAGGCTTACTAACATAGTAGATTTTGTTCCCTCTGACAAAATGCTACAGAAATCAACTTCTTTTTAGATACCACAGACTTAAATCACAGCTCTGGCCTCAGAATGAGAGCCCTGCTGGTATTGAATCTGTACCTTGATGGTTGGATGAATGATGAACAGGACCAAAAAAGGAAAGAGAAAAGAAAAGAGGAAGGTAGAGGAGGAGAAAATGGGGAAGGAAGCAGAAGAGAAGAAGATGAAGAAAAGGACAAGGCAAAGGCAGAGGCAGAGGCAGAGGCAGCAGCAGCAGCAGCAGCAGCAGCTGCAAATGCGCCTTCACATCCGTGTGCTGCCCCATGTAAGTCATGTGACAGTCATAAGAGTAGGATTATTTCTTGCCTAGTTATCAAACAGAGACTTTTCTGTCCTTCTGGAGTCCTTCTCAAATTCCTCTTGATTAAAAACCAAATGGAACCCAAACCAAGCTGCCAAGCCTCTATGTGTTCCATGGTGGAACATTACCTTCTGTCATGTGCAATCCATTAAGACAGACATCTGATGTTTGCGGTTAGGCTGTGATTTCCCCATGCCTGTAATCGTGACCAACACTGAAGAAAAGCCAAGTCTCCCTGTGTAGCAATCTTAGGTTTTTGTCAACACCCTCAGAGCAAAGAGAAACCAAGTCTGGGCCAAACCAGCATCACTAACACGTCCCTGCAGTTGTAAATAGAAGACAGCTCCCGCTGTGGGGACATGGAGCCAACACCTAGAAGCAGCGTGTGTCCCTCTGAGCAGATGATGGCCTACAGCCTGTTGTTAAAATAAACACAAGCGGCTTCAGATGGCATTTGGTTTTCACTTGCTGAGAGCAATCTCGCAGGACCAGTTTCCGGTAGAGATCCCAAACCCTACCATTCCATAGACATACTTTTTCCACTGTAGAAACTGACTTAACACAAGGACCCAGACACACATAAGTTGCAAAGTTTGGATTGAGTCTTATTTAATAGCTATTTACAGAAAAATTTCTGTGAGCCAAGTTGTGTTCTTGGCCCTGAAGGGTTTAAGGCTAAGGCATGGTGCCTGCACTGTCTATTGACTGGGATAAACAGAATCTGTGAGGACTGGTATCACGAGCAAAGCACTCAGAAGAATGCGGGCAGAGACAGTTATTTGGAGAAGAAGAAAAAACAGGTGGCATTTGAATTGGACATTACCAGATGAATGGGAATTTTTCAAGAAAGAATAGTAAGGAAAGGCATTGCTCTGGATGGAGAAAACGGTGCTGTAGAGGGCACGACAGTGCATGACGCGTCCCAGGAACGAGGAGGTCTACTGAGGTTGGAGTGCAACTTGCAAAACAGAAAAGTCGGCTGACATCAGATTGTAAATAGTCTTGTGTGTCACTCTAAGGACTTTATCTAGGAAGCCATCAATGTTTTTGAGTCAATGGTGGCTCACCAGGCCTTTGTTTTAGAAGGAGAACCCTAGTGTCAGCTTGAGGGGATTATTCTCAGGGAAACCGTTTTGAAGATATTGCAGTAATGCAAGCAAGCAGTAACAGGACCCTTAATTAAGCCTGTGACACTGAGAAATTAAAGAAAAAAGACAAAAGGCTTTTATTATAAAAGGTGGCTTCTGATGCTATTTTTGGAAATACTGCTCTGATGCCTTTGCGAGGAGAGGATTTAGAAACAGGCTGACAACAGAGAAGGAGACAGGGTTGAGAAATGTCTTTGACACCTCCAGGAAAAATGATGAATAACAGTTGAGGATAAGTTAGGTTAGGCGAGTAGTCCTCAGACTGATCCCCTGGCTGGCAGTATCAGCTAGAAATTTATTAGAAATGTAGATTTCGGGTCTCTGTCCCCAGTCAACTGAATCTGACACTGGAGGCTGAAGGCCAGCAACTATGTTTTGACAAGCCCTCTGGTGAGGCTCACAGGAGCTAAAGCTGGAGAATGCTTATCCTAGCGGCATAAGGGTGTGGAGCTCTCAAAAGCAAGGAGACTACAATAGAGGTTAAGAGGCCAAACTTTGGAAGAGATAATCCTGGGTTCAAATGTTGGCTTTGCATCTGACCAGTTATGCCACAATCTCTGGAAAGTTACTTAAAATCTTTAAGTTTAATTTACTTTGTCCTAAATGAAGGTAATATACTAATGAGACAATTCAATAAAAGAACTCAGTATAAAGTGTTCAGTTCACTGAAAAGTTTGCCATAAAAGGTAACTGTTAGTTTTAATTTGGACCATAGAAAGAACAATAGTTATGAGAAAGGAAGTTCCATATTTAACATGAAATTTTAGGTAACCATAGTACAGTTCTTTCCAGGAGAATGTTGAAAATGTGTGGGTCTCAGAGAAGAATGAAATAGAAGAACATACAGGAAGGTCACAGAATAGGCCAAGGCCATCTCATATGAGGAGTCAAGATCACCACAGGAGAACAGAGGAGCAAGAGGATTAAGGAGGGGGATGAGGGAAAGCAGTCAGCAAAGGAACTTGAGAAAGAAAACACCGGACAGAAGGAGAACTGGGAGCCAGGAAGGTCACAGAGGAAAAAGAGGAGGGTCAGAGAAGAAGGCCAACAAGACCGAACGTTGCTAAATAAAAATATATATATATAGGAGTCAGAGTTACACTGGTGGATAGATAGATAAGGAATGTCAGCCATATTGGGTAGTTCCAAGTGACTGGAGCTTCTGACTAGCACTTCTTGTGGAAACAAGAACCCTGAGGGGCTGAACAGAGTAAGAAAGCTGAAGGGCCTCGACTGGCCTTGAGAAATCCATCTGTGGTGGAAAGCAGGAAGAACAGACTGGAAAAATCAGCAGGCCTCACAGTGTGGACAATACCTCAAGGAAACAGGATGGCATAGAGTTTTGTGGCCTACAAGAAGGAGCCATTGATGGATGATAAATCAAAGAACAAGCACAGAAGAAAGAAGCAAGGAGGATCAGGAATGGCACCAGGGAGACTCAGCTTTGGAAAGCAGAGTAATTTTCCTCTGATGGGAAAGGAAATAGGTGAAGATGTCACCTGGAGACGGGGAGACAGGGGCAAGTGTGTGTCAATGCTGGGCTCCCCTGAAGCATGGAAATGGCACTGAGGATCAGCTCTGAGTCGGGAGAGCGCTGAGTGGTGGTGGTAAATTCGGTGTGTTAGAGAATGGGCTCCACAGTGGAGGTGAGCAGAGACCATTAGTAAAATGAAGAGACTGCTCCTGAAGTTCACAACAACTAGCATGGGCCAACCAACCCAGAACCTCATCCTGAGCTAGCGCTCCATCACTGGGCTTCCTGGGGATAGAGCCCTGGGCCACTGTGAGCTACGCGAGTCTGGGAAAGTCTCTCTACCTCCCCAGGTCACAGCTTCACTAGCTGTAAAATGAGCATGAAAATAATGGGACCTACCTACCTCACCCAGCTGCAGTGAAAATCAGTTAATTCAAGTAGAACATTTGGGACAGTGCTAGACAGAAACACAGTACCCCTTGTTAAATGTCCATCGGGTATTACTATATTACCATAGTGTTGAGACTAAGCTGAGGATCCCAGGAATTCACAAAGTTACAAAAATATCACAGCTCTCAGCATATCGCCACAAATGAAATAATCCTCCAAAATCATCAATATAATCATAGCACCATTCAAAGATAAAAATAATCTCAATCACCCACCATACCTATGACAGACATCCTTTTCCTGATATTGTTGAAATCCAAAAAGGCAAGCAATTGATAAGTAACAAGTGTTCCCAATTCTTCTATTGTTATTGAATCTGGAGTCCGAGACTTAAAAATAAAGCCACAGTTTCTAGCAGCAGTTACCAGGGCCCCTTCATCGGGTGATTGAACTTGGTAGATCAGCTTTCCTAGAGAGGAAAAAAGCAAAAACAACAAGCAAACAAAAAAACAAGTATATCAAAGTTGAGAATAACAACTAACATTCTAGAATTCCAATATCAATCACAACTCATTCTTTAATACCCAACACAACTAGCAGCTTTGAAAACATTTTTCCTATCCTTGGGCCTTTGCTCCCTACCAACTAGCTGACGAAGTGTCTGCCCTCTGGGATACCACCAGAACCCCATATGTACCACCATGTAGCCCTTGTCATCTTTTAGGAAAATGTTTCTGAGTTTACTTCTGCTCTGTGCTGCCCAGAGACCATGCTTTTCTATTTCTGGTGACCAGAGATGAACCAGTAATATTACACACACTAAATCAGTTTAATATATGATAACTCACAAAATACTGAGGGCAAGTCTTTGCGGTAAAGATGATTAAAATTATTATTTCCATTTCATCCTGGTGAGACTGACAGCTGAAAGACACTCTGGATCTTGGCAAGATCTCACAGCAAAAAGGCAAGGGAGCAGCTACTTTGAATGCCACTTCCAACAGCCACTAACAACCATTTTATGAGAACACATGTAAGAAATTCACTGAAATAGAATCAAACTGAGATCTCAATATCTGTTACATGATACTGTGTATGTTAGAGTAGGAATAAGAGGGGAAAGGAGAGAAAAAGAAAATAATAAGCAAAGAAAAACCTTTAAAAATAGTATGGATAAAGTAAACCCTTCTATATAAAATGTTATCCTGTTTGTAAAAATGAATTAGAAAAAGTCAGCAAAGCTAGCACCATATTTACTGATTTACAGTGCTATTTAAGATAAACAATTAAGAAAGCAAGCTGCATATTATTAGAATATACCGATTTCTCTGGGTTCAAAACAAAAAAAAGCTCTACTCATTTTTATATAAAAAGCAAGTGCAAGAGTGAAATGATCACACAAAATGTTACCATTGAAGGAGACCAAGAAAGAAATGATTAGCCGCATTCCAATCAGCCTTTGTATTGTATTGTTTCACTTGATAAAATAGGCATGGATTAATTCTTGAAATTAAAGAGGAAACAACTCAAAGCAATTGCTCAGTCTCCCTATGAAATCATATGATAACTTCTACCTTTGGCAACATGGTAGGTCAGGTGCGAGGGCCAACCTCTTTTGCAGCAAATAACTTTAAAGACATTTAATATTTTTTAGTATATCCATTAACTGGCAATAAACAAGAACTGTCCTGGTCAGACTGAGAAAAAGAACACTGATGGCATTAAAAACAAATACTGTAGCCAGCTCTTGCCTTGAGGACATCTTCTGAGGAGGGAAAATTCAGTCCTTAGCTTCTAGCCTACCTAGGCTAGAAAAGGCACAGCCAGAGCCTGCCCAATGTAAGAAGTATAATGGATACCAGCTCTTAAAAACTGACATGCTATACTTAAAAAGTGAACTGCAAATCTGTGCCCCCTTTAAGAGACCTACAGTAAAACTGCCTACCTAAATCCCTGTTTCTAAGCATAAGAACAGAAAAAAATCTATGCTGAGAATTTACCATCAAACACTAACTCCTATGTATATTTACAGCCTGATCTTACAATATCTGATGGCTTAAAGAAATGAAGTTGAAAAGGTAAAGGTATTTCTTCATTAGAACTTTGATTGAGACAAATGCAAATCCTTTCTGGAAGAACCAGCCAGACCCAAGGGATTTCTACAAACAGTTCCAAGAGTAAGTGTCAGCCCACGGTGAAAAGCCATTAAAGTAACAGTAAGAAAGACACAGCGAGAGCCATCAGAAACAGCACAGCAAGATGAACAAGCGCCTTGGATCCTGGGTGGGCCAGGAACAGCTCATGCACTATATTTTGTAGATTCCAAGAAGTTAAATAGAGGCATGAAATGACGCAGAAAGGAAAAAGAATAAAAAAAACTTCTAGAAAGAACTGGTGGTCTGCATAAAATGGGCAAAATTCCAAAAGATATCTCAGAGAAACAAAGATGTGGGAAATAAGAGAATGGTTAGAAGACAAGGAGTAGTGTGAAAATATGTAACACGGAGGATATCACACACAGAGAAAATGGATTGGGGGCACTGTTTGAAGAAACATACGGCTCAGAACACTACACCCGTGATAAAAGATGACATCCTATGGACTCAAGAATCTCAATGAAACCTAAGCAGTATATGTTTTTAAGAATGTACCTATAATACAGAAGTGAGGGAAGACAACATTTCAAAGTGGTCAGGAGGAAAAAGGCTGATGACCTTCAAGTCACATCTAGACAGCTGACTGCAGAAACAACTGGAAAACCTTCATTTTGCTGAGAGAAAACTGTTGCCTTGAATTTTTCCAAACAAATACGATATCATTCAAGAGTAGAGACAGTCATTTCAAATCAAATTTCTGGGGGTTTGCCAGTAGGAATTTCTAAAAACCAAACATCAGCTCGACAGATTAGAGATGAGACAAGCACTGAAGAACAAAGGAATTGATCCATACATGGGTGAATCAAACAAATACTGACTATACAATCAATACAATAACATCGGTTGACTTTAGAGAGGGCTAAAATACATGACAAGGATACATGCCACAAGCCTTGGATAAGTCAAGACAGTCTTCAAGTAACAGAGGATGATTGCTTTGTCTGAAAGAAAGGTTAAGCCTTCCTAAGTTACTTATGATAAAATTTCTAGGTTAAACACTGAAAAGAATACAAATAAAAACTGGGTGTGGTGGGTGGCACAGGCCTGTAATTTCAGCACTTTTGGGAGACTGAGGCAGGAGCATCACAAGCGCAAGTCCAGCCTGGGCAGTTTAGCAACTTAGGGGGACCCTGTCTCAAAAGTTCAAACAATTTGAAAAGGATTGGATGCAGCTTGGAGCAAAGGCCTTGGGTTCAGTCCCCAGTATCATAAGAAAAAAGAAAAAACAAACATTTCCAAACTAGCAGAAGTAAATATGGACTGCTTCTTTAAGAGGACAGAAAAAAAGATTAAGAGACAAAACATGTTGAATGATATGCTGTTTACAAGAGATGTGTCTTTAAAAGATAGATATGAAAGAGTGAAAAAGATAAAAATGCAAATACTAACAAAAGGGAAATATCTATATTAATATCAGATAAAATAAATCTTAAAGCAAAAAGTATTACTAGAGATGGGGTGGTGGTACATCTGTGTAATTGCAGTACTCTGGGAGGCTGAGGCAGGAGAATGACAAGTCTGAGCCCAGTCTTTCTCAAAGCAAAACAAAGAAATGAACTGAGATACAGGTCAGTACCAAGGCCCTAGGTTCAATCCCCAGTAATGCACACACATGCACACACACACACATATATGCACGCACATACACACACACCATCACCACCACCATGATAAGTCTAAACTAGTATCTAATAACATAACCTTAAAACATATGAAGCAAACATTGGTAAAACTGCTACACATAATAGGTATATTCACAGCCTAGTACCCAATAACTATCGAATGTACATTCATTTCAAGCACATATTAAATATTTATAGAAATTGAACACTTACTGGACCATAAAACAAACATCAGGAAATTTTAAAGGACTGGTATAAAGAGATAACAAGAAAAAATAGTTTTTTTATTTACTGCCTTCCACTGAAAATACAGAGAAGGAATCCTCCTAAGGTACTTGGACTTCCCACTTGTCTACTTTTGAAATTTCATCCAGGAGACAAGACAGAAGACAGTAACTTCTCCAAATAATTTCCAGTGAAACAAACATCGAACACTTAAAATTAATACTCCTGACTATAAATTATACAATCAGCTAATTTTAAGCATATTAGATCAGGGTTCTGTTCTTTTCCATAATTTACATTTATAGAGAAAGGTGTCTATCTTTCAATGTACTTTAACATACATGGATTTATTTGAGCCCTTGAGCTACCTGCCCCATAACTGACAGAATTAAAAGGAAAGCAATTGCAATTTTCCCTTAGCGATGTAATCCCTCACTTAGAATTTGATATCTCAAAGTAAGAGACAGGAGCAGTTGAAAACATTCATATATCTAAATCTCCTTTTAAATGGCAAGAGAGGCATTAGTCTGTGTCCACTAGAATGGTTAAAATGTAAACGAGTAATGCCACTTAAGTCTTGGTAAAAAGTGGAAGTCCCAGAATTCCCCTACAGGAACTTTATGTGATGTGATCATTTCAGGAAATGAGCAGTTTCTCAGAAGGGTGGACATATAGCTACACTACGATTTGGTAATCCGCATTCCTAAGTATTTAAATTCCCTTTGCCAATTAAAAACAAATGTTTTTAAAAGACATGAAAATATTTGTGATAGCTTTAGTCATAAAAGCCCCAAGCTGAAAACAACCCAAGTATACATCAACAGACAACTGGGAAAAAATTGTGATATATTACTACAATGGAATATTACCCAGCAATAAAAAACAAGCTATCAGTTGATACAACTCAGATGAATAACAGAAGCATAACACTACATAAAATAAGCAAGAAGCAAAAGAGCACATGCTGCATAATTCCACGAATATCAAGTACAAAAATATACAAAACTCAGGGGCTGGGGATTTAGCTCAGCAGCACAGTGCCTGCCTGGCAAGCGCAAGGTCGTGAGTTCTATTCCCGGTACCAGAAAAAAAAAATTTAAAAATATACAAAACTCATCCTTAGTGATAGAAATAGGGGGAGTGGTTGGGCAGGGATTGCAGCTACTAAGGTGAAGGATGCGAATAATCTTTCTGAAGTAGCGAAAGATTTGTACCTTGAGAGGAGTGATGGTTAGATGGGTATATATCATTGCCAAATCTCATCAAATTATACGTATAAGACCTATGTGTTCAGTGCATTTCATTATAACACAATATGAAGTGTTCAGGATGATGTGAAGAAATACAAACAAATATTACCAGTAAGCTACAAATGTGAGAAATATCTGGAAGATCAAATGTAGCTTTGATCGCTGAAGAAACAAAACTAGAGAAAAACACAGGTCTGAACATTTGCAGGAGAAAATAAATACAGAGATATGCACAACCCCCAAAGATGGTCCAAACTCTGAGTCAGCAACTGAGAACAGCCGGGCATGGTGGCGCACGCCTGTAATCCCAGCACTCAGGAGGCTGAGGCAGGAGGATTGTTGCGAGTTTGAGGTCAGCCTGGGCTACACAGTGAGCTCAAGGCCGCCTGAACTGCAGAGTGAGATCCACCTCAAAAGGAAAAAAAATGTATTAACAAATGAGAACAGAAGTGGCACTGGGGAAGCACTAGTAGAACTCAGGAAAGACTGTTAAGTACCCCGGACCCTTTGGGCTCTCCTGCCAGCTCACTCTGTACAGCAGGCTGTGGCAGAAAACCGCCCAGAAAGCCCTGGAAGATGTTTCTCCTACACCAAGCACACAGTCCATCCCAGGAAGGCACCAGGATCTGAGTTCCGAGGCTGGAGACTGAAGCCAAGCTGACCTTGAGGTACAAGGAGCGATCAAATATATGGTGTGTGTTTAAATGTCAGAAACTGTGTCTCAGTAAGAGACACGTTACGGTTCGGCCCTCTAGAAATCCTCCCCTTGCTTTAAACACACTTCGCCTGTCATTCTTGCCACTTTCTAAGCCAGTAACGGAAGTCCTCTACCATGAGTATCTGATTAAAAAAACAAATTATACAGTGAATGTGGCTGCCCAGTGCCACCCCATAAGAAGGCAAGCTGGCCAAAACATCTCACTGTGGCCTCATTTACCTAACTCCCTGGATCTGGCACCATGCAACTCCTGGCTGTACCCCAAAGTCAAAATGACCGTGAAAGGTCAACGCTTTCAGTCAGTTCAGGACATCGAGGCAGCCTCAACGGCACACCTAAAGCCTTGAAAGAGGACTTTCTGAGCTGCTTCAGAAACTGGCAAAAACAATGGGATACCTGTGCTCAAAGTGAGGGTGAAGATTTCGATGGGATTTGTGGCCACGTGTCCTTTACCGCAATCATTTTTTAAAATTTAAGTATTTGCCATGTTTTTCAATCACAACTCACGGCTCCAGACTTCCGTAAGGATAGAGAAAGGAAAGGAAGGAAAAGGAATTCATCCACTGATGATTTCTCCCGAGCCAAAGCCCTGTGTACAATGCTGCCTCACATGGCAGTCTGAACAAGCAAGCTATGATCCCAGGGGTGACCCCGGAATTGCGGGGGAAGGACCCCACAGGCGAGGACAGGCTCCACACTCTGCCCCTCCCGCACAGCCTTGGGAAACCAACTGCTGCGAGGAGAACATACATTTTCCGAAGGGGTTCTCACATGCGAAGAGGAACAAGCAACCACAAATCGTCACACATTTGAGAGCAACATGAAAGTCAGACACAGAAAACTTGAAACATAATAGAAGAAACAAAAGGATGCATCAAGTAAAGTATAATTAATAGCCTCAAAGAGGTCTAAAGAATATCATAACATTAAATGGGAAACAGACTGCTATTAAAAGAAAATAGGGCTTTTGAAATGAAATAAACTCAAAGGCAGAGATAAAAGAAACTTACTTAAAGGCATACTCCTGAATGGAAATATAATAATTCCTTGCTGATGTTAATATTGTAAAGATTAGTCAAAATCATAAGTGTAGTTATATGAATGCTCCAAGTACTTAAAATCTGAGGAATGGGTTCATCTGGCATCATCAAAGAAAAACATTGCATCTTAAATATAGTTCCAGTGGGGGAAAAACCCAAACAATACAGTCACGTGTGTATAGGAGAACGGTGTCTGTGCACACATGAGTGTGCATGTACCCACAAATATACAAGTCTCTATAAATATTTCACTTTTGACTTGAAATTGCCTGGATAGTAATTTTAACTTGAAATCTGAAAGCAGAAAAAAAAATGTATAAAATAGAGTAGATAGACCAGTTCACTTTTGATTTGAAATCACCTGAATAGTAATTTTAACTTGATGTCAGAAAGCAGAAAAGCCGGGGGCATGGTGGCACATGCCTCTAATCCCAGCACCCAGGAGGCTGAGGCAGGAGGATCATTGTGAGTTCAAGACCAGCCTGGGCTACAAAGTGAGCTCAAGGCCAGCCTGAACTGCATAGTGAGACCCTGTCTCAAAAAGACAAAACAAAACAAAGCAAACAAACAAAAAAAGAACTAATGTTCCCTTGTTGCCACATTGCCTGTGTGAGGGCCTTCTCCTCGGACTAGCATATTTGGATCCTCACTCTGCCCTTGATATTATTTGTTTTTCTTCAAACAGTTTCCACATTTTTGAGAAACATTCAGGATACAATCAAATAACTAGAGAAGTTAGCGGCGATCAACCCTTTATGCAATGTTCTACTTTTAATTCAAAATCATTCAAAGGTAATATCAGTTTTATTTTGACCAAAGGGGCTCACCACTTACCTGAGCTATCCTCCTCTGACATCACAGTGTGGCAGAGAGCGAGCACTCTGAAGAATTCGTGCACTTTGGGGTCTCCCGATTTGATGGATTCCATCAGACTGTGGTCAAAGAACTGAAGTGATCTCTCTGCTTGAGATTTCTCTGAGAAATCCACAGGCTCTTTTTTCTATAGGAGAACAACAGCGAAAACAACTACAGACCTCGTTCCAACAATAATCTTTTAAAATTCACAATTACTTCCTTCAAATATTTTTAATGCTCCTATGATATTGCACCCTCACAAGCCTGTCCCCAGAAGACTATTCCATTACTATTAAATACAGCCTTCTAATTTCAGAACCACACACCAAAGCAGGGAATTGACCAGAAGCATATAGAGAGAAAAAAAAATCTCCAATGCTCAAATATTTAAAAATAAAAAGGCCCAGAAAACTGAAACTTTTCTGAAAATTTTACTTGGTGGAAAACCTGATCTGACTTAATTCAACAGCAATATCTGACCTGCAATAGTTGCTTTTTTAGCCTACTTAATAGTTGTAAATTAATACTTCCAATCGATATTGGAATATTGGTTGATTACTGGGTACTTTCTAAGGTTTCACTGAAGACATGGCATAACATAAAGGCAGATACACCATATTATCTTTCTACAACTACAGAATTCTGAATTTCTAAACATATCCAGTCCCTACATCCTTGGCAATGGATCATGAGCCTGTCTCTATTTTAGGAGTGAATCTACAGGTGGTTCTCCCCTGAACACCTATAAGGTCTTATCAGGTACCAAGATCACATGTTTACCCCAGGATCATCATTAGTGTTTTTATTCTTAAAGTTTTCATTAATTTTTACAGTGTAACTCCTTTAACTATTTTGTCAAAGAGAAACAATGCTACATGCAATTTAAATTATTCATTCCAAGTTTCAGAACTTGTTAATACCTGCAATAAACTTGGAGCCAAATCTGAGTCCTTTGTTCTTTGAAATCAGATTTGTTCTGAAATTAATACTGAACAAAAATAAAAATATTTATCATCATCTCCATAGTGGGCCAGACGCTATCTGAATAGCTTCATATGAATTATTACATACAATCCTCCTAACAACTATGTGTAGTAAACACTAGTACCCCCTTGTACAGATGAGAATTGGAATGGCCAAGGTAATCTCTATAGGAAGGGACAGTCAGGAAAAAACAAGCCAAAATTTCCTGCTTTAAATACTTCCCTGGAATAACCCTTTGATCTAATTCTTGATGATCTTCCTACACACTCATTAATTTGATAATGGGTACCATTTACTAACTGTTCACAGTATAGTCACATCTCTTTTTATTTAAGTACTTGCTCTGTTTCAGATGTTAAGTGTCCCCCAAGTACATACAAAAAGGCTCCTGCTCCAGAATGGCCACATCTCCCGGTGCTGTGGACATATAGGAGGTGAGCCCTAGGTCACTGGGACCATGCCTTCAACACAGACTGCAGAACCAGGGTCTCTCTCCCTTTCTGCCTACTCTGTGACATTTGCTCTACGCAAGTCCCTGCAATGATATACCACAATTTACCACCCTCACAGATGCCAGACAAATAGTGCCCTACCAGCTTGGACTCTAAGCCTCCAAATTTGTGAGCTAAATAAACTTGGAGCCAGGTTTATAAATAAGCTATCCTTTTATAAATAAGCTATCCCAGGTATTTTGTTGCAAAGCTAACTAATGTACTACTTTTATTTTAAAGACAGTAGTAAAGAAAAGAATACCAAAATACCAGCATCACAAAAATAAACAAAGCAAAGCAAGAACATTAAAAATGATATAGAATTTCAAAACAAAATGATAGGAATTAACAGTGGTTGTTATATTACACACATATTGTTATCTTTACCTAAGTTGCTCAGATTACCAGATGTAAGAATGGAAAACTTTTAATACATTCAATCAAAGCAATACATGCAGATGGTTCTAAAATTAAATATGACATGAAGGTTTATCAAGGAAAGAAATAGGCCTTTACCACTCCCCAAAAAAATTACTCTCAAATATGAGACATATTAGATGGTTCTGCTAGAACTCATATTATGCACTTATACCATCATTTCTAAATTTAGAAATATTTCATCTTGTCTAAAAAAATTCCTTCCACAATTAGATGATTATTTAGTTCATTTATTCAACTTCCCACTTGCCCTTCCCACCTCTAACAGCATAGATCTATGCACACTGTAATTTCCCTACTGGTTACTTCCATAACTTTAAGTAATGTATGGAGGAACTTTTGGTTTTGTATCAGTCCATCAATTATAAAGACTCCCTTTTAGGTAAGATGAAGTGTTTCCCACCCTTACCTCCTCCAACCTCTCATTTGTATATTTTTTGTTTGTTTGTTTCATGATAGAAGTTTAAAATATGTGTATTCCATTTAGTAACCAAGCTTAAAACCTTTGCATTATTCTAAGGGTTGATTATAAAAGTTGGAAATGGATAAAGGGTGTGTACCTAAGTCTGGGTTTGAGATATTGTTCACAGCACTTTGTCCCCACAGATCTTCCTGGTCAGTCAACTCAAGGCTGGCTGACTACCCCATCTGCTACTCAGTTGCATCCCGGATGTCCCCAAACCCAGCCCGGGCTAGGGTCACTCTCTGCCCAGCTGATACCTTTCTGTTTCTTAGCTGATTTCCTTGTTCTGTTGTACCATATCTTCAAATTACTTTGTAAGCAGAAGGTCAGGAGACATATACGTCTTAAGTCTTTCCGCCTGAAAATGTCTTCATCTGCCCTCATACTTGCCTCATAGCTCAATCTAATATAAAATTTTAGATTGAAAACCACTTGAAGAGCTTTCTACATTGTCCTTGTCCTATTCCTGACGACAAGGTCTGCTGTGTGGCTAACAGGCCTTTGGTGGGCAGCCTGCTTCTCTCCACTAAAGGATTTAAATCCACTTCTTCACTGTAGTGTCCTGTCCCCCGACGGGTATTGGTCTTATTTCATTCATCCTTTGTGAGTACTGTGAGGGCTTTTTCATTCAGAAGACTCAGGAAAATTCTCTTCTGATATTTCTTTTATCATTTCCTCCTCTTTGTTTTTTTCTTTGTTTTTTTCTTCTGTTCCTTCTTGGAAATCCTCTTATCTAAATTTTGGATCTGCCCCCTGACCGTCTGTTTTCTCATTGTCATTCTGATGCTTTCCCTTTATTCTATTTTTTGGCAGCCTTTTGACTTCATCTTCCAACTCTTCTATTGAATATATTATTTCATCACTTTTCACGAAAATTATTTCCAGGAGCTTTTTATTCTGTTTTGTTTTCCTGTTTGTGTTCTTTCTAGAGCATCTTGTTTGGGTTTGATGGGTGCCACCGTGTCCCAAATCAACATATTGATGTTAGAGTTCTACAATTGCTCCTGATAATTTCTATTCTATTTTTTAAATTTTCTCAGGTCATACTGTTGCAAGTAACCCGGCTTTTATCTCTCACATTTCATCACAGAGATTTTTCTTAACATCTGGTGACTTGTAATAACATTGCTTAGCTTTACTAAGGAGACAGATCAAACTTTGAATAGGCAGGACTTACTAACTGGCAGGTTTCACCTTAGAGTCAATGACAACAAAGGTGGCCTTGTGGTTTCAAGCTCCTAAATACCACACTGCAGAAAACATTTCACTGAAACACAAATGCTCATTACACTAGGGCACAGAGAACATTAGCTGCCCTATCTCTTCCCAGAAAATCAGTGCCATGCCCATGTTGAACACCTCTTTGGGGTAGAAACTGACTGCATCTACAGATTTCCAATTATTCCCCACTGAGCTAAGACCAGGTGAGTCAAGAGACATATATAATGCATTTAATTTAAGGAGGCATTGTGGTCTGTGTGTGCATTTTTTCAAAATTTAAAAAAAAATCCTGACTATGTTATACACCAGGCACTTTTCTAGATGACAGGGATTTAGAAGTAAATGAGGAAGACAAAAAGCTCTACCCTCACAGAACTTGTATTTTTCTTTATTTTAACCAACTATTCAGATATATGAAATACAAAATTAAAGTCATTTAATTCTAGTGAAAAAAACAAAAGAATGCTAAAGATTATTTTAGAAGTGAGTACATCTATTGTCCAGAGTTTCAAAATATACTGACCATTCATTGAGTAACAGACAAGCAGGGAACTTTGAAATAAATGCTGAACTTTCTTCATCAGAAATTTATCATGCACCTACCACGGCCAGGCAGTGTTCAGGGTTCCAAGGATCAAGTGGTGAAACACATGCTACCACTGCCCTCAATGAGATCCTGACTCATAGAGTAAAAAATCAAAATTCAAGTGCAGTGGCACCTTCATATGCATCATTCATTAGTTCCAGAAAGCACAACACATACCAACAATGACAAGTATGAAACAAATTGCTTTGGCTGGAAGAGGTAGCTAGTCACAAGGCAATCAACGCTGACCGGTGTTAGCTTGTGTAAACAACAAGTGCTAGGACAACTTTCAAGTCCAAATGCATTGAGTACCAAATTCAATGAGTTTCAGAATAGTCGAGTGCCATGCTACAACTGAACTGTGGTCTGAGTGTTTCCTCCAAAACCCAGGGTGGAGTTTAATTGATGTCGTAACAGGATAAAAAGGTGAGATCCACAAGAAACAGTCGAGTCCTGCTTTCATGAGTGGACCATGGCCATTTCTGTGGGGATGAGTGAGTTATCTTGTGGCTGGGCTCCTGCTGAAAGAGTGAGTTCAGTGATTTTTCTGTCTTGAGACTGCTTGTTTATTTTTCACCATGTTATGGTGCAGCAAGAAGGCCCTCACTAGGTACCCATATTCTGTCTTTCTAACCTCTAGAGCTGTTAGTCAAATAAAGTCTAGTGTTCATGACTTACTTAATCTTTTGTATTGTGTTATAAAAGCAGGAAATGGACTAAGAAGCCATATGAAATAACAAGTGAAATAACAAGTATGAAATAACAAAGCTAGCACATAGACAGGGGTAGGGAACAAGGATGACAAGGAAAGATTTCTAGACAAGTAGCATCTAAGTGGAAGCTGGAAGGATGAGCAGGAGTTGGCCAGAAAGAGCGATGGAGCCAGATTGTTTCAGGATGAGGGTACAACAAAGCTGAGTGTGATCCATTTGGAAAGACTTTGAGGAATACACCATTGCTGA